CCAACTCACAGCGCGGGCCGTCATTGATCTTCATGTACGTGAGTCTCGGCAGCCGGAGCTCTATCTGGTGCGAGATCTCAGCCTTGAGATAGATGTGATAGTCGTTGGGACACTCGTGCGGGTAATTAAGGTTTGCAACTTTGCCCGTCTGGGCGGCTGACAGTTCCATCAGCGATGATATCCGGGCCGTCGTGTCCGCGAACCGGTAGCTGAACCGAAAGCCCCGTTTTGACTGCATTGTGACCAACGAGGTTGAGGTGATGTAATGCACTTTCATGGTATTGCCGTACGATATAAATTGTTGCCCTATTTTTTAAGTAGATTTAATAGTCATGTTTTAATCTTGGTAATTATTTTGCTAAATTAGTTCTAAAACATGTATTAATGATAATTATATTGAATTAATAAACTTGTGGTTAGTAATGACCAGACCTATGAAAATATTGCGTGTGTTTAACGATCCGCAGAGTTGTACTGTCTTTGATTGTCCCAAATCTACGCTCAAATAGTTATCAAATTTGCAAAACTCTTCGCCGAAGTCATCCAAATCAAAGTCAATGATCGTCAGCACAACCTATCGATTGATTTAAATTCAAAACAATTTAATTATGTTAAGTCCCAAAACATGTGTAATACATGTGTGTAATAAAATGTGTTAAATATATACAATATATTAATGTATATCTGGTGTTAATGTTGCGAAAGATATTGATTATGGATATTATGTTATATTATGTGTTTAAATGAATGACAATTTTGTTTCATGTTTTATATAATAGCATTAGTTTATATAATTTTTATACATTATATACGATAGCCTTTTGTATGTGATTTGATTTGATTGCCATAATATTATGAAATAATGTAATTGTAATCGATTTCATTTTTCTACTGTAAAGTTACAAATAATTTTCTAATTAAATATATATTTCTCTGGTATAAAAAACAAGATAAAATATATGAATGAATTGGTAATGCAATGTATATTACGGTACAAATAAAAAAATAATAAATTATAATTTCATTAAAACACATCAGGAATGCTAAACAGTTGAACATTTATAAAAAATAAATTACAGTAATATCACAATATATGGCAACAAAAAACTACACTAAAACCAAACGATTAAATAACTTATTAAATACAATATTACGTTAATTACCCGCTTATGACTTTTGGCTACAATACTCAGCGAGCAATTCAATTGCGGTAAATTCAAGTCGGGATAACCGGGACTATCGATAAAGTCCTCATCACCAGTAGTGTTGGTGTCGGTCCCGGACTCGGGTTCCCTAATGAAGGTCTCATTGGCGTCACACCAGCCCATAGAGAAGGCTTTCCACCGGAGTTTGAAACCATTGCCCCGATTGGAGAAATCCGAGTGAAAAGTGACCCGAACTGAGTTCGACAACGATATGAACGTCTCGTT